CGAATTGTGTCCAAAATTTGTCAAATACATTTGACTAAGCTTTGTAGCTATGAATATTTGCTCTTTCTGGTGTACGGCCTTCATTGTGGGTGATGAAATGATTTGAACCTCCAACTCGGCGTCATGCCACGTTTCCTTGTTACATCCATTTGTCTAATACAAATTATCATGATTGGCCTCTTTAGCTTTGAGCAAATCTTGTTCGCAAATCTCTCCGCTTTTGCAATACATGTAACATGTAACTAGTCGACCAGTACTTTCAGTCAACCAGGCCGTAACCAGGATTGATTAATTTCAAATACACAGTCGAATTCTCCCCTTTCTCCGAAGCGTTGTGGTTACTTGAGTCAAAGTGGCGGAAGCGCAAAGTTTGAAGATTTGTCTTCTATGACAATAAGGAAAACTAAGGAAATAAACGGGTTTCCCCTTCAATGTTATCGCCAACCCCAGGCGTACCTGGAATGTGATAAAACTAGAAGCACTGAAAGAATCCACGTCGAAGCAAATGGTCGGTTTGGAAAACCTGATTGAAAGAGAATTTTATGGATGGTTGCTGTTATATTAATATAAATTTTATTTCGATAACGGGGAAGAATGCAGCAAATGTTTGAGAACAACGTGTCAAGTGAACCGAATTGTTGGCCGTGAAGAATGACTCACGCAGTGGTATCCAATACAAAACGCCATGTAGTTACTTCGAATTAAATTGGCAAATACAGTGAATATTTTTCTATGGATGTAAATATATTCTATGCAATAGCCGATAGCACTCTTTATCGTAGTATCAAGCTGACTGAGTACTATCAGCGCTGTATTTCTGAACGACCCCATCCCACACATTAACAGCTTAATATAATGTTGTCTATACGGGGTCATCAAGGAAGAATTTCGTATATGTTCCAGCTCTGATGGAGTTATTCTCGATCTGATCTCCAGAGTGAAGTTTTATCACGTCGTAGCTGATTGAGATAGTGTGCCTGGGATATGTCATGTGGCTTGATCACCAGCTTTTATTTGATAACATTGTCAGCCGTAGCGAAGGGGACCGACACTGATGTCCATAAGGTCACACTTTGCCAAGCAGAAAATATTTCTAGATACCGGACTCGAATGTTTGCTGTCCACAGTTTTAGTGAATAAACGCGGTTTATACACGAAGCTTTGAACCAACTGCTTGTTTTTAGATATCGTCGTAGGGACATAATGATTTAAAGTGGACGTGCGAGATGGCCGAAGTGGTTAGAGCGCGGATTACTAACCTGAAGGTCCGCGGTTCGAATCCGACCTCCGCCACTTGACTTCCCCTGTCTAGGCTTGGGCAACCTGGCAGTATCCCAGCCCTCGTGCTCCCTTCGGGTGGCATGGCAGCTAGGCACCGGAAGGGGGCTACAGCTGAACGCTTTATCTTTATCTTAAAGTGGACGTGCAAATCTCAAACTCTTACCAGCTGCACCTGTTTCAGAGATTTCTGAATTGGGATTTGAGCTATGGTGCATTTTGAATGGAAATCAAGACAGATCATTAATTCTTGCACTTAACTTAAGAGCGGAGTACGCGATAACGTTGGCTTATAGTTTACTCTCGAATATTCTAACATGTTTCACAATACTGGACTAAATATTTAGGTCTCACGCTGTGTGTGACGTTGCATATGCTATACATCTGCTTTTTTTTGCAAGAAAGTCCGTTTGCTTGCTCACGTTATGTTTAGGATTCTTAGCAATCTTGGTTTTCTCTACATTTTGAATTGCACATCCTTTTCTGCGCTGGTGTGTCGATCAGCTGTTTGCTCATTTCATTTGGAAAAACAGCTTCACTACATGACAGCACGTTCTGATTGTAGTTTCCAATAGAATTTAAGCAGCTCATGGCAAATGAACGCCTATTGTCATTGAAAATAATAAAGTGTTACTAAAAACGACTTTGGAGAATTGTGAGTTTACTATGGGATTGGGGCATAATAATCTTACTTTTGGGTTCCACTGGACTTGCTGGCACACTTTCTGGAATTAAGGAATAAAATTCCTTGATTTGTTTGGTTACTCTTGGTCTACATCACGAGAGCATCACCGCCCATAATAATTCTACCATGTGAGACTGATAGCTAATGCACCGCTGAGTGCAGCTCACAGAAAAACAATCGCCAAGCTGATGAGCCCGGCGCGGCGAAACCTTTAAGATTAAGAATGATTCCAGCCCGAGTTGTTTTCATCAATCTGCACAATCCGTGGAGGGATTTATATTTAAATAAAATTCATTAACATCGCTAAACAAAGTGGAAAAATGTTAGACATTACTGAATATTTTTCATCGTCGTCATTTGTAAAATTTTTTTTCGCATGCACCTTCTGCACATTCATGTGCGTGATATTTTTACCGCATAACAAAGTTGCAAAATTTGGGCGCGCTGAATAACTTCAATAGTTTGTGGTTTAGCTGTGTAAAATTTGCATTCAAACGTCTTAGCCCTAGTATTATCAGCGTCGGTAAGATTTTAGAGTTTATAACTATTTTTGTGATGGTTGCGTGTAAGAGAATCTTTTGATTGATTCTGAAGGTCACCGAGTTGTTCAGACCAGCTTGGATGACACACCCGTACGAATATGGCTGCTTTGTATCACTGCAAGCTTTAGGGATTCTTTCCCTAAGTTTGAAAGCAAAGTGTGACTATAACATCCAAAATAATGGCTAATTTTAGAGAACAGGAACGCAATTTGTAGAGAATTCTCGCGTGAGCCAAACAGTATAGCATTGGTTATATATGGGATTTTCTCAGCATGGTGGATCGAGTGAGAGGTAAAATTATTCTTTGAAGTTTTGTTCCGTAACTTGGGTTGTATTATGAACATTTGGTCATATAAATGGTGCCGGCATGTTGTGACATTAGCCACACATAATGCGTCAGGTGGTGATTCGTTTTCCACGGCATTAAAATAATGGACGCCATAGTTAGCCAGCGTCCAAGTATCGCATTAGCACCGCATGTTCAGTAACTTCGCCAAAACTATCGTTACTCAGGCAAACAAACGACCGATTTGGGAAGCAAATAAAAATATGTTGACAATAAAAATATGTTGATTCAGTTTTTGCAATCTGTAGCCAAATCCAAAGAATAAAAAAGCGACATTGGGGCTACTAGATATTAGTCATCTGCTGGACGCTGCAGACGAAAAAATACAAAAACCATCTATCACGCATTCATAGAACTTCGAATGGGCAGTTCCAATATGCCACAAACGGCCTAATAATGCCTGTTTTTTTGCATATTGATGTTATGTGCGCGCCGCGTTTGGCAGTCACACATGGAATGCGGAAGTTGGCGTATTATAAGAGACAATATTAATCAGTGATTTGTCACATTCAGGGTGCACATCCCTCATTGTCTCACAAGCTTATTCGACTTCACATAAAAACGTCGTCTGTGCGGGCATGTTTCGATAACAGGAAAAGTGGGAGGACATCGGAGTCTTGCAGCATAGATAGTTCGGAAGTAATTTCAGTCTGCGAAAAACACTGAACAAAATGCTATGTGCATATGCGGCGGGGACAATTGAAGCTCCTAAAATTCTGAAATTACAAACTGGACACAAATTGCGCATCCTATTCTGTAGACACGGGCGCACCACGGTCCAATGATTCGTCTGAGCCTGTTCCTGTTTCAGTTGACGCAACTAGAATGAATAAATGGACTCATGTTTCACTTTTGAATTATCGACACTTTCGCGAAGCTGTTGGAATAGCTTGCTAGCACGGTACATATATTGCATTCAGCACCCACGCGGATAATTTGTGCTTGAATTTCTCGCTGGATAATTGATTGCTGTCAAGAAGCGTCCCTTGCAAGCAGCCTCAACAAGTTAATTATCCCTCCAGTACAACTAACAACAGCCTCAAAATTAAACAGATTATTGTGACACTTCCTGCCCCTAGACGCTCCAGAGCGTTCCCTCATCCTGTACCGTTCACTAAGATATATTACTGCGGATTTAATTCGCTGAAAGCTACTGGAGGTGCTGATCAATTTAGGAAGCCGAGACTGGTTGGTGGCTGTTTGCCAGTGTGTCCAAAAAGCTATGATCTTAGTTACTAAAACATTGTGTTCAGTTCATCCAACTCTACAAAATCCAGTAGATCTTACTGCAGAAGGTGAAAAACGACAGCAACTGTAGCCCCTCGCCTATTCCATAAACGCTGACTAATAAGTATCTGCAAGCAAATGCATTTACATAACTAGGGGATGGAAAGGGCATGCAGGGCACTGTGCGAAATCCTGTGAGAGTGGGCGTGTGTACAATAGAATTCCATCTGAGTTTTCCACGTCCAGCGATTTAATGAAAGGCCGGCACTTCTCATCTTTTCTGTTAATAATTGTTATTGATATGCTGCTTGATACAACTATTGCGTATACTTTAAAACCTGGACATCTCATCACAGGCAACAAGTAGAAAATTGCTATCTTTTGTTCTTCTATGAACATAGTTTCTCAAGCGAATGGCGTTAGGACCACTACACACTAAATTTTCATGGACGTTGTTATTATCATCAAAGGATAAACACGCTGCTTTTTCATGTGGCATTCGAAATACTTGAGCGCAAAATTGCAACTGCAGAATAAGGTCACGTTGACCAAATTCAAATCCACGCTCTTTCATATACACTACTTTTAGATGAAGCGCGGCATTTTCATTGTCACGTTACTCAGTTTTTTTTTCAATTTGTCCCTTTCCACGGCTTTGACCGTGAGTACCTTCCTGGCAATCGAGATTATTTTCCAGACCCACAACTCAGCCAGATAACAAACGCCGTTGAACTATGTACACATGAGGTGTAATAGTATACTTTTCCAAAATGTGCGCCTACTTTCGACGTCCATTTTACTCTACTAGGGCTGTGAACACAGGCAGTTTCAGTTTTGTTTGCGTTTGGTTACCACATTTGTGACAGCCAAATGACTAAATTCAATAAGCAAATGAAGGTAAAATAACCAACTGAATTAGGATTCATAGACAAGACTCTCCCATTTTTTGCAGCGGACAGGCAAACAGACATTTATTTGGAAGAAACGCACCTGAGGTATCCGCTGAACGCTCTTTAAGTTTAGCTGCAGGATGAAGTGCAAATGTCTAAATCAATTCTGACAAATTTAGGTTTATCTCACAGGAGGTCGCCAAAATCTGATCTTTGGAGTATTGATGTATTATGAAGTTCACAATTTATGAATGAGGTAAATTAACGATATTGCTAATCTAAAAATTATGCGGTTAACTCAGATGTATGTCACAAAATTAGATACCGCCTGACATTTCACAAACTTGTTGATAGTGATATCCACCCACGATATATTCAGTAATTTAGTGTAATGCTGAATGGCAAATGACTCCTGTCTCATGTATGTTTCCCTAAAACGAAGGTGCTTTCTTCTGAACGATATTACGATAGTCTGGATCAAGAAGTTCTGCCGCATTTTTTTATACTTGAAACGATTGTGCGAAACGTAACTGTTATAGCACGATGAAGTTGACGAGTCTTGCGCACTGTCCCTAAAATAACAGCCAAATTATTTAATGCGCGCATCTTTTAGGCACTTCCCCAAAACATAATCAGCCTATTATTGGAAAATATTATTTGTGTGGAGAGTGACATACCTATGCCTAGGCACTGTGAAAACAATTATTGCGACTCCCTTAATGTTGAACACGACATTGGAACATTCTTTTAAAAGAATTATAAACGACACCGTATAGTGATATTTGTTCCACAATATCGTAATTTATATAGCCTTTCAAATTTTAAGATAGAATACTCGCAGTTTGTGTCAAACTTGTCACCGTTGGACAAATAGTCCAACACATGAGTTCCTAGTGTTTCCAAAAGTTTTGTAGATTTGTTTTGTAATTTCAAAGATCAATAGGCCTTGGCGGCTTGCTGGAAGAGATATTTGGAATACGTACAGTTTTGTACCGGTGAACAACCATGAGTTATACTACTTGTGTGTTTTTGTGCGACCTGTCGATCTTAATCCAATAGAAGACATTTTATGTCGGCAACAATCGTCCAACTCAAAAGTTTTTCACAATATGTACAGCAGTCACTTTATTAAAATAGAACTTGTGAGCCTTTATTACATCCACACATAGAAGAAACGTTTCATTAAAGCGGTGAAAATGAATCTTACTTTCCAGTTCGGATAATCTGCTTTGCAGGCCAGCTGAAAGTGATGAAATAAGCCAGCATCTTGTATATGTAGTTGGAATGTTCAGGACATTTACGTGGGATCTTTAATGCGAGCTCAAGCTCAACGCAATTTAGCTCTGTCTTGTTCGAATATATTGCAGGTTAGATCAATAAACATTTGAAATTTATGCCAGCATCCTACAAACAAACATAGTTGCCAAGTTTAACCCAGAATGAGACTTCCACATATTCGTATGATTATTATGCACACAAGAATAGTATTAGCCATTATACCATATACATTACGCTACTTATTGGTATAAAAAAGCGCATTTTTCAACATACAGCAAACTCTGTTTTCTTGAACAGCACCCTCCTTAAAATCACAGCTGAAAAAAACTGTATCCATTGCACGTGATCATTTCCGCGCTCGTGAAGCCGAACATAATGGAGCCGCCTTTAGAGAATGAGTGGTGATGCAGATGAGGCATCAGTCGAACGTATTGTGAAATAAATCAGGTAGCGGTATTTATTGCGCTGTAAAGTTTTTGGCGCAATCATGCTTGTTATCGTGACGGGCGGTTAGCTGACAAGAACTTTAAGTAATGATAGGGTGGTTCACGACTGCCTTGTTTTATTTTGTAATCAGGAATATGTGTATTGAATATAATTTCATGAAAGTAGTTTACCAAGCCATCAACTTCCTTTTTTATGTTCTTCCCATCCTTATCACCAATATGGCTTGATGCACCGAACAATAATTTTGGACGCATGTCAAGCAGATACTCTCGTCTGTATACTTTGCTAGAGTTGAAAACGTGTGTAGGTCTCTCGGCTAAGGCACCTGTGTTGGAGCAAACAAAACCTTTCTACACCAATGGTGATAAGTCCGACACCAATCGTTCATAACCAATGGGTTGTTAAAGGACAAAACAGGAGTTGCTTTTCAGAATCCACCCCCATTGGACGTTTGAGGTAGTCGCAAGGTATAGGTAAATTTCTGCCTTTACCATCCTCCATTAGAATGTACAGTGCCTATCCCAACTTTTAAGGCTGTAGTAGATTCGCCTTTGGTTGTTTATATGAAACGCAAAAGGTGGCGCATAATATTGCGTGTGGCTTCCAACTCAGTGCGTTTACCATGACACAAGTCATTTGTGGAATCCACTTTACGGCAAGGTCTAGCCCAAATGATACACCTAAGTCAATCTACCTAAAACGTGCAGAAACCTCAAACTGTTTTGCTAGATCTAAGTGATAGGGTCACAACGTTTTTTCCACCGGGGATAAAATCTGCTCATGGTTTGATATGTTTTCAAGTAATAGGTATCATTGCTTTCCGCTGCAAAGGGTACCGCTCAAACTCAATTAATAAGCAGATGATTTGTGGGATGTTATAATTAAAGCTAACCCAGCAAAAAATGCACCACATCTAGACAGACCCACGCAAGTGCGCACTTAAGCAGCGTAACGTTCGTGTTTCTTGCTGTTTGATTCTTAGCACCAAATGTTCAAAGAGGGGCAAACGACAATCGAACGCTCAAAACTGTGATCTTTCGTTATCAAGTTTGAAAAGCTAAATGGAAGTCCAGAAGTATTGCGTACTTTTAACATTTTTCAGTATCATTGTTATTTGTTCTACAAATGTAAAAAAACAGGGAAGGTATATTTAAGACAATAATTGCGGACCTCGATCCAGTTGGCGGCACAATATATTTCACAGTTAGTTGTTTCCATTGAAACCAATTTCTTCGCACTGCACAGTACGATGACCGCTGTGTATATCGTGAATAAACGGAAGTCAAAGTGTTATGTTGTTTCTCAGGCCCCCTAGAGCTCGGTCGCATTACTCCATTTCTCTCTCATCTGCTGTCTACTGCATAAAACCAGAACTTAAGGTAGGGCAACTCGTGCCCACTACCGGCATACTAGCCGCAAACGAACCGTGTTCAAATTACTTTATCCAAAAATTCAGATGGGGATTCTTCTAGATAAAAAAATAGAAGAGTCGTATTCGCGTAACATGATTACTGGTTCATTAAATAGCTCCTGGATATTTACTACATATTCCTCCTAAATAATGTGAAGTCAAAATGCTGGTTCCTAACGAAAAAGATATAAGAAGTGGTAACGGTCACATCAGTACCAGCTCACAATTTCAATATACATTAACATCAGTTGAACGCGGCGATCTAGTGCATATTGCATTATTCCAAATGAGGTCAATTCGGAGAAAGAAATGCAGCAGAAGTGTGCAATTGACGTAAACCGAGAATTGCGTCAACGCTCCTACCAATATAACGATCCTCTTCGTCAAACAAGCAGAGTAAATGTCGCTTTGGATTGAAATAAATTGGTAACAGCGTTCACCAAAATGTTGTTACAATGTTTTGGAAACCTTATTGGTTTCTTTTCTCCCACAAATTTTCAGAGTCGTGAGTGTCTCAAATGCCGTCAAATTGCCAACTTGGGACCCTTGCAGCATGCTTCCATCAGCGAGAAAGATGATGAAAAAAATATCGTTTCTCTCAACGTTAGCGGCAATAGAACCACAAGTAAATCATACCTTCTGCTTGCTTCAAAGTTGTGTTTAACTGATCTGCATAAATTTGAAAGTGGTGATTGTTGATCTTTGATATGCAAGCAAATCTGAGTCCGATGATTTTTCATAGGCTTTGCTTTCCGTTCCAGGCGGACATGTTGCTATTGATATCGCTTTGTGTTAGAAATCAGGTCAAAATTCTGCCACCTATTTAAGTGTCCACCACAAGCTGGTAGCTGTTTTGTACAGGGTGACGACATTGCAATTTGACCAAAATTGTTAGGAACAAACAACGTACAAATATCGGTCAAGCTTTCTAGATATCTAACACAAGGTCAACATCCGTTATTGGTGTATGTACATATATATGATTTCAAGCTAACGATATGTTCCTCTTATTTTAGTTTTTGCATCTTTCTGGTATCAAAGTGACCATTGATTGTTTGTGCAAACAAACTTCGAACATTCAACTGTTGAAATAATATTCGTTCCATATATTTCTACTGAAATATTTCAGTTAAATTTTATGAATGGCAAACAACTTGTCCCGATTCGGAGTACAATATCCATGTGCTAATCTACCACAGAATAGACAAAGCAAAAATGCTTGGGACGTTTAAAGGACCGCTGGTATCCACATATACGCGTGGCCAATCTGGTTTGATTTAAGTTGCACAGCCTTTTTTATGCAGCGAACTAATTCTCATAAGTTTCGAGCCATAGGTGAATTTTTTGTACTTTTCTAACAATTAATTCCGTTGACTTGAGACTGAAACAAATAGCCATGTTGAAAGCAATGCAATGGAGACTTCGTTTTCCTTATTACAAGGTACCTTTTGTAGGCATTGTATATTCGGAGTGTTGGGTCATAAAGCGGCAATTCGAGGTTTTGCGTCAAGGATATTTCGTGTAGACTTTGCATGCTGCTCTTGTGTTGTTGAATATAGAGTGTTGAGTTTCCACTAGACCAAGCCACTGCTAATATTCCGCCTTCTTCACTGTTGAAGGGAAACAGGCTCAACAATTTGCTCATCGTCACGGACAAAAACCCGTCAGCATACAACTGTGATTTAACGATATCCGAGTTAGTGGATGAACACTGAAATAGAAATAGATTATATGTGTGACAACGCTATTAAGTTGATAACCATTCCGGTGTTTTTGAGCAAAGCCCATCAAAGTACAAGCTGGGGCACCGAAAGACTGCTATTTTATACAAATTAGTTCAAAACCATTATATAAGCAGAAAAAATTGTGTATATTAGCACGCAGATGAGCATCTGTTTGATGATTTATCCATTACTTGCTGTTTTCTCCGAACCGAATCCCTGCATGTCATTCAGCCACCAACATGCGGATATTTGCTTAGTCTTGGGGCAACTGAGAAGAACCAGTGAAAATGATGAATAGGGAGTCTTGATCCCCTAGCGATTCTACACAACGTCTAGGCACCTAACCACTAGTGTAATCCGATGACACCTTAGCTGAGCAGTTACACACATGAGGAGGAATGAACCACCAGACTGAGCTGCACGCCAGACGAATAGCGAAGAAAAACTTCCTGGATCAGCACAGTCGAGGTTCTATCTGCTGCGCTTGGAATTCGCTCTCGGTGGTGCATATCTTTGGCCTGGTTTAGACTTAAAGTCCGCACGTGCAATTTACGAAGTAAGATTGCTGACCCTTTTCCACAATCTTATGCATTTGAAGTTCTAAGCTGGCAACGCTTGGCTGTGTGATCGAGAAGCCCAACACGTCGAACGACGACCCGGTAACGTCACATGTCAATCGCTTGGCCTGCCAGTCATAACACCCTGGTCCATGCAAATAATGATTAAAATTCAGAACAAAAGACCACCCACGGTGCATTTTCGGGGTGTTCGCTTCATCTTTGACGTGAATTCTTTAACTTTTATAATCAAATAATATGTTCTGGAGTGTGGCGCCAAATGTACTTTACGACACTGGAATTAGGTGTTCTTTCGCCATTTGTGTAACTCGAAAACAACGAACACTGGTGTCTCTGACAACGTGAAGCTTTCATATGATTTTGATTTTAAAGAACATACGGGCAAACTTATGAAATTTATCTCTATTCAGATCAATTTTTGTCAGCCATTGGTGAGGTGCTCAGGCAGCTAAGACCCCTCTGTCAGGAGACAGTTTATTGGGTATCACGCACAACGAATTACTGCAAACTAGGTTCAAAATCGGACTCGTTCAATAACCATTTAAATTGGTACGTTTAGATACAGGCTGCGTCAAACGTTTGTTGAAGTTTAGAAAGTCTGGATGAATTTTCTTCCATCATTTGCAAAAACTCTCACGCCTAAGTGACGTGAGATAGCAGCATGCGTGTACAATCTATTAACTCCTGTATTCATTTATCTCACGAATTTTTATATGCAACCCGAACAAAGTGACAAGTGATAATAGTTTTACAGGATCAACAATGAAGCACACCCATCAAGCCTTGATTTTGTAGCCAAACCAGAGCCTCAAAAATATTGAAGTCACAACTAATCCACCGGCTAAAGCATATTGTGAAACTCCTTTCAGCCGCAAGGCGTTCAGCAAATGTGTTTTTTACCAAAGAATGTGCGTTATGATACAAAAATACTTGAAATCATACCGCATAGAAAAATTCCTCTGATTTTGATATGGTTTCCCAAAACAGTTCACTGACGCAGACTTACCTCCTAATGTCTCTCGTGCTCCAGAATTGGCCACTGAGGATATTGTGAAAAAAGCTTTAATTTTACAAAATAAAGCACCTTGATCAAGAGCGTAAATTATTTAGCCCCCACAAAAAATCAAAAATTATTTTTCCGAGATTTTTCAGACACATCTATCGTATACGTGCACAAAGGTTCTGTGTCTTCTCTTAGCACAAAAAAGTGATCTGCGAAGGAATGTTCACCCGCTTATTTCCTGCAGCCGTTGATGAACCCAGCCTTTCGCTTGAGTTTAACTTTTTTCAACCGTAGAATGGGTGTTACTTTTACTAATTTATGGTTATGTTGGAACGATTTGTTCACATAATTTAAGCAATGTATATCATCGATATTTATACACTGGCACAAATCACAGCATGTTCGTAGGCAATAGATAGTTGGTATTGCATCACAGCTTTGCCCCGAGCATCACGTTTGCGCGACAACATAACAAACCCAATAACTTTTCTGTCGGTTGCGGCTACAACAACTCAAATGTCAAACGACCAAGTTTCCTGAAAAATAGTTCCTTCAAAAAATTTTCGGCATTTTACCGAAGAGGAGGGTGCATATTTGAAGTTCGCTTGTGTGGATGTTACGTATGAGATCATTTGTAATGTGATTTACACCTTTACAGTGTCGGAGTTAAAGTTAGCCAAACGATGGCTACAGCAAGTGGTGTAGGTGATATTTCGACCAGCTCTTTAGATTTCCACCAGCGGAGATCGTACTTAATCTCCTGTACGTCGCTGCCCAGTACGCACAACACTTTCCGCACGGGATACAAATTTAATTATCGTGTTTATAAATACACCTCAGCACCGGCTTTGTCCCCTGCACCAGGATAAATGAAGAGTATTCATCGTGCGTCTTTCTAATTCTGATCGAATAGCTGTGTGAGAACCAGTTTGCATAGCAAGTAGGTGCAAACGACTCTTCTGAAATTTCCAAGCGCGATACCGTAAACATATGAACGGATCTTACCCTCTAATTTTTCGTTTAACTGTTCTAATGCTTCTGTAAAAAAAGTAAATTTATTTCATACCCAAACAACACACGCTTGAATTAAATGGAAACAAGTAACCAAAGCAAAGCAGGGAACAAATTAGCCCAATTCAGTGCATTACATTGAGGCGTTTTCGGGCTTGTAGTTGAGACAAGTGCGCTTGCTTCGGATTTGGTGATTTTGGAGCAAGAAGGAACTACTGCGTCTGATATACCAGAGAGTTGCCGCAAACGGAAACTGGAGTTTTTGGTGCTTTAAAATGGAACGCAACTCCTAAAGTCTAATGCAATTTGTGTTCACCGCACTATTTTTGTGCACGCGTATGAACGAATATCGTCCATGTTTGAAGCAAATTTGGAAGCAAACGTATATGTCGTATATACAAAAAATATATTACGGCTGAGGGACACACATTATATCCTACAATATAACCGAAAATAGAGAATCTAGGGGCTGTCAACCGGACTTAGAAAAATGGTTGTGCGGGGTGGATAGCTGATTACACTACTCCACACACTCGCTTTCCTTTGCTCAAGAAGGATTTTCTGGTCCAGTATATAAAAACTATTTTCGAAATTTTAAGTACGTTTTGCATGGTGAAATTTTTCGTGATTGGAACTCCGCAGTAAAACGGTATACCTACTAAGCCAAAGTATGAGATGCAGTGCTAACTGCTTTTGAGCGCCTCAAATTAACGAAGCTTTCTTCTGTTGGCTACCCTATCAGGGAGTGTGTTGAATATTTTTGTATGCTACCGGATATGTTGAGTGTGATGGTCGCGACTCATCAGATCGATGGGGAATCCGTTCTGTTGGCAACCAAAATCCTCCAGGGTAATTGTTTTGTGAGATTGTAAATTCATCAATTTCGGTGACAATTTAGTTTCATCATATGTAGAAACAATTACTACCAGTTTGGCGCAAAATTTTTTTCAGCAGAAGAGCTCCCGATATAATGCCACAATTCATTGTTTTTGAGGTTAATTATTATTGGCTTCTGGTTTGCTTACATAAATTACATCCCCAATGTCTATCCCATTGCCAATTTTCCCTGTTTACGTGTAAGTTACCAGCAGGTTCCTGAGAAGCGTTGATTGGTTCAAGTCGTTTTTGAACAGACCGCTTTTGTTACATGCTAGCCTAATGTTTGGCTTGAGTTTCAAAATGAATATATTATATTTTGAGGGCGGAGATATATTGGATTGAATTTTGATAATACGCTCAACGCTATCCTTTCGGCCACTATAACAAGCGTGTACTTATTAATATATTTATCGTGTTCAATAATTGCCGAGGAAATTATTCAGGCTATGCAAACATTCGACTGACCAATACTGGTCGAAATGGAAAAGGCACATACCCTTCAACCTTTGTAGTTCACGTGTTAAGAAGTCTGTATGGAGAATAAATAGCAACCGAGTCCATGATCGGACGTGAGCTCTCAACGACAAAGTGCATTAATACGGGGAAACAATACAAATATAGGTTTGCAAATTAAAAATCCGGACGCTGGGGCGATCGACCTTTGGACATTCTAAATTGGGTTTTGACCAGCGTAGAAAGTATTTTATACATGAACTGCCTCAAGGTATACATTATGCGGATTGTTCTGAATTTTACTTATTCGTTAGCGTCAGTGCTGCAAAAAATACCGTTGCATTCGTGTAAAGTTCATGCTGATAAATAGTTAACGTTAACATCCATTCTAATTGAAATCTATTCGGAAAAGTCGCTTCATTATTTTCGGGTACAAAATGGATCATCGTAAAGCGCAGTGCGTCATGCTATAATCCCCTTTGGAAGCCAACTTTTCCACCTGCTGATATTGTTGATATCCATGAAGAATTCGGGCAAGGTGCTACACTCTCCTCCATTACTGCGTGTTGAAAAGGGTTTCCCGATAGGTTAAACAGGTGCACAGCTTCTTTGAACGAACTTTAGTGCAAAAGATCCTTAAGTGTGAATTATTGACCCAGGCTTGTGATTATACACACCTAAGAAGTCGATCGAAAATTAAACCACTGAGACTTTCCCGCATCGGTATCTTTAAAACCGGAGATGAAAAGAGGTAGGCATCTAGCGGAGAAGTTATTGATTTAATGAGAACATTCCTTAATTTTTACACGTATTTCAATTCTGTGGTTTTAAGTGTGAATCCAGAACATGTGCTTAGGTCCAATCAAGAATGAATTTTGCAGTATTACGTTTCTTATTACTAAACTATTTAATTTATCTATTGCAGTTCACAGTAGGTCAAAAGAACTTGTAAGTAATGACACAGTTATACTGTGCACATGCGGCCAACTTCGACTACTTTCGTAGCGGTTCAGCAAACAACTGATTACATATCCAGTCCATGAACAGCGCTCGCGCGAGCCAATCAATCAGACACGCACCCAGTCAGCCACCTAAGCCATATGCCAGATTGATAGTGGAACGACGAACGGACGCACACAAGCGCAAAATCTGACACACCAACGCAGCTATTACAATCTTAAATATTGAAATTTCGGGTGATTGATTTCCCGTCAATTTCACTGCCCTTGCAACCTGTTTAAAACTGGTAACGGTGGTAATCTCTTTCCAATGGCATCTGAATTTAGATTTTTCAAGATCAGACATGGTTTAATTCGTTTTGAATTATTCCTCTATACATGTGATTTGTCCTTTCCCAGTTACTACTGAGTACCCACAGATAACTTTGGGCGCACTGATATTTAAAGTGTAAGTATATGATCACGTTTGAAATATGATTCCAACTAATATGATCTAGACTTCACTCTCAATAATTTGTTGTTAGCACAATCCTTACTAGCCAATTAAGAATGTAGCAAATTTTGAGATCACTTAATCCTGAACTCAAAATTTTCCCAATACATCGGAAAAGCACAGTTGAGCCTGATGCCCCAATATCAAAGCCAACTCAGTGCCAAACTCTCTGAGACGGCGAATCTTTACCATTTTTATTACTACTGATACACTTATAATTATAATACTTCTGCTGGAGATTATTATTACCATCCATTGTTGATTAAAAAAGCACATGAATAATGTGTTCAACTGCGTACCATTGATATTCTTGAGTGCGTTTATTACATAAACTATTGATTGTGAAAAAAGGAAAGTGGTTACATATGAAATTGATGAATTTCGTTGCAAATCCTCCGGGACGGTAGAACCTCACATTTAGATGAACCGTCTTTTTAAGGGAGTTTGCAATGCCACATTCCACAAAGCCTCAGTTTGGTATTGTGAGTCATCCGTCCCCTGATGAGTTAAGCCGTATAAAAGCAATGTTGGACGTTTCAAACCGGGTATAATGTACTCTCTGGATTTCAGAAAACGACGCACGTTCATGGTAATGTTTGGAAAACGAGTATGTGCTTTTTTTGTACAGCCCAAATGAAATATCTTTCCGTTTGGCCAGCTTGCACCAAATTTATGTCGAACCGCATAACCGATGTAAATTTCTTACGACTTTCAATGCTTTACCTTTCCTTTAGCACATATGCCAAATTACTTTTTTATTTGCTGAGCTCCTGCTAGTGATTTCAAACTAAGGTTATCAGAAAGTTGCTGATATAAAATCGTATTAGAAAGCAAATGTACATGATGGTACCAAGATAATGTGCTCGAAGTTTATGTGGATGAATCATAGTGTGGTCTAATTTCACACTTACGAAAGGCAGGAAATTAAGACATTCTGAAATAACCTATGTAGACGCATCTATCAAAAAATTCCATCCACATGCAGGAAAAATCTCAGGGTGGAAAACCCCGGGTACAATGTGGCCATGAAATGCATGTTCGCAAAATAATTGCTGCATTCGTTCTAGCAGATTTGCAAAAGTCTGCATAATTTTTAAACCATCCTATTACCGGTGACTAAAATACATAAAGTGTGAAAACTATACTGCGCTCTCTTGGTAAACAGGTGACATAGAGTGAGTCAACCTGGCAATTTCAAAAAACGTGCAAGTGGATTATGGACTATCATCCCCATTTTAAAGCGAGTGAAAGTATAACCATTAGTAGAGCTGGAAATGACACCAATATAT